GACGCGATAGACTAGCCGGTTTAACCTTGAGGATAGTATGCATGAGTTCGAAGTGAGACCAACTACTTTGGGTAGAGAGACGAAAACTATTCTATCACCTGATTGATGAAAAGCACGCTAGTGATAGAAGACAAGTCAACTAGAACAGTACGTGATTTATTCCCAATTCCGATCTGGTTCCTGATTTCTTAGATTAGTACAAAAAGATACATGAATATATAGATGACAAACCAGACCATAACAAACAAGCAATTAGAAAGATAGAATTATGTCCAAAGCTGGAGATTAGCGTAGAAAATGGAGTACAGAAGATTACGTTTAAATTACAATAGCTCTGAAACGAAAAAGGCCATGGAAGTGAGTCAAACATCAAACGAAAGCTTATGATCTGTAGAATAAACTCGCGACAAGAATAAATGTAATTGTTTTACTAGCTTTGAATTAAATTAAATAACATCTCCGAAATTAGCTTCCGTAGTTTGTCAAGGCTTCTTGTTTCTCTGTTCTCACCTCAAGGCAATAACTGTAGCCTTTACCATATGTTATTTTTTATGGTTTTAAGTTTTTGATCTAGTGGCGGTCAATAGTACACTAAGTCTGAGGTAACACGTTCGGGGTCATCTTAGTAGAATAGCGAATCTAACACTAAGTTGGAAACATGGATCTGAGTAGCGAGCGCAGGAGAACACTCTCAGAATCACTTATCGATTGCTTTATCCTTGATTGTAAAGAGCTTGAAATAAGCAAAATGTTCTGCTCCCCAACTTCAGCTTTCGTAGAACAAACTTACTTGGAATCCTTGGCTCGGATCTTTTGCATTGTGTCAATGTTATCACGTAGATTACTGTAGCTTATTTTCCAACAGATATTAAGTTTTCGTTAATATTGATACATATTTCAAATAATCAGAAGTGATATTCACTATCCGTTCTAGTGGGCATTTTACTCAAGGACTGGTGAGGAAGATATTTCCTCGGGAAAGAACACCAAGTATGACAGTAACGGATAGTGAAACTCTATCACATGGGAACATTTTAGCAACTGGCTTAGTGATGTTGGATACCATCATAGATTCAAGGCTTGATGACATCCCTAGTGTAGCAATTCAGCAGAAACTTTCATTCGAACTTCAATGAGTGCCATCACACAGGTCAATGTAGAAGGACTAGAAACGTGCGTCAACAAATTCTTGCTTCACTATAAAACATTATAGAACTCAAGACAGTCCAGCTAAACTCGTTATATATTTTATACATAAAACTCATTTATTGACCGAAACATCACCAACGTGCAGTATAATCAAAGAAATGACTCCTGAACATGTTTGAGATTATGATTCAGAAATAGGTAGTCTGATGGTGAACATTATTTAAATAACCATACAGTCCTCAGCAGACACATAGACCAAGTGAAGAATAATGAGGTCGATGAATCTAATTTTAATTCTCATCGTTCTTTGGTTAATTCTAGTTTTGTAGAAACTTCCGAACTTTAGGATGATGATTCTGCTATTAATTCTGATAATTCCCTTGTTAATACTGACTCATTATGTAATTCCGAATTTCAGCCAAGTGAATCAAAATGTTTAACAGAGTTGCTAGCAAACCGGCCCACAATCAACGTGTGGCGGTGGTGGGTGGTTAGTATGTTTGCTGTACAGTAAAATACTTTATGTTGCATTCAGATTCGCTTTAATACTATATAATATCACATTATATGCATCTAGTTCGAGTTCTGGGTTGAGTGGTGGTGAAGTTTTAGAAATGTTGGTATTAAAGCCATTTCTTTATATTGTTTCAAATTCACGTCTATACAGATTGTCATTTAACGATCGTTCTTTGCCATTAATCGAGATTTCAAAACCATTACTGAGCAACCTCTTGTTCTACTACCAAACAATACTACATTAATGATTCGTTATTTAATTCACTCTGTGATACCGTTTGCTCTCATTCTGTATCTCATCTACACCTATTAAATTATTGACACAGTACACTTTTCCTTTATTCTCCTGTTCTTCAAATTCAACTCGGTATCCATTCGAATACTACAGAATTTATTGAAATATGGTCATATTAGTAAAATTTGCGCATCGTTGCATTTCTGAAAAAAAGCCCGATATAGTGTCGTCACAACATTTATGTACCGATGAGCTGCTTATAAATAACAAAAATAACTTAAGTCCACATCAAGTACGAATGAATCTGCCTCCTATTATTTGCCATCAAAATTTAACTTCATCAGAGTAAAATGGCATCGGAGACTCAAGTATACTTGAGTTCATTTACGTATGGCTTAAGGTGAAAAGGACCTAAGACGGAGCTTGCAATACTCCACTAATTGTCGATTTCCAAGAGAATCACTTGAAAAGTATTTTTTTATTCTCTTTTAGACCCACCACATATTCCCTGAACAAATTTAGTAGGGGTCTAGAAACTCGCTTTTTCCAACTTCATGAGGAGTCTATTATTCGGCACCACACCAAGCGCTTTGCCGAAGTTCAGTTAGAATACACCCATCGATTTACCATAACCTAGATACTATGTCTATTTTTTTTTTCTACAAGGAGGTTCTTTTGCAAGATAATTTCATCCTGAAACACCATTAACCTCTGCTTAACAAGTTGTTGGGTCCCACGAATGCTATGAAGGCTTTTTTGATTATTTTCACAGTTGCAACTACTAGGTTAATGAGCCTAATAGGTCTGTAGTTCGATGGAATTGTCGTGATCCTGGAGTGACAGTTGCATCCTTCCGGCAAATCTACCTTGCGAAACCTTTCGGGTATAGTTCATTTGGTCATTTCGATTTTCTGGTGTTTAAAGTACTAAGAAGTTTTAATGCATCGTCTACATCAAACTTCACAGTGAGTAGATGAATTTATAATTTTGTATTTTGTCGTAGTCCTTCGTCAAGAAGGTGTTGAGTGAACGGTGTGCCGAAGTATTTCTACATGCCCTCTACTTTGTCCTGGTTGCTCTTCGTCATCTGACGTACGCATCATTCGTCAGTTAGGTTAGGAATCCGTTGGTGCGTTCTGGTCCTGTACACATGAGCCCGGAAAGGACTTACAGCACTAAAGAAATGAGCAGTAGACAATGGGGCTAGAACTTTATTTCTTCAAATTTTATGTCGTGAACTTTCAGCCTCCTTTGACATAAAGTACTTGTAGAACTATGGTCTAATATGATATTAGTGCTGCTCTAATAATAGACCTAATCCTAAGTTTGTAGATTTGTCATGATATAACTGCCTAATCTAAAAGATCTTACGTGGAAGTCACACCATCGACTACGCCAACTCACTGTATCGTATCAATTACCAATACATGATGTAGAACAAGGTTAGGCTAGAGAAAGAACAATATATTTAATATGAATAGGAGATATAAGATAACATTCAGCAGGGACCATGCCTGCATGGCTGAGCCAAGCCGTTTGATCAACTCTAATTCCTCCAATTCATTGTTCGCGCCTTCTCCATTGTTAGGTATTTCTCGGCGTTAAATATTGAATATTTATTTTCTGAGTAGTCTCGTGTTCACAGCTTTGTGGATTGTGTGGCTATTGTCCAATGCCACTACATACTTTCCCTCTCCGACAGTCTCCTCAGAACGCTAGCTTGAGTTAGTAATTATGAAGAGCTTAAACGACAACTCGAATCACATTGGGAATGCAGTCAAGACAAACTCAGCACTTCACTGCATGCGTACGCGATATAGAGCTTTCACTCCAGAGTTGTTCATAACACTTTAGGACTGACACTCAGCCCCTCTCTGAAATCAACAATGTAAAAAGACGGGAGGCGATAGGTTTAAAACATAAATCTTAGGAGGACTGACCCTGAAATTTTGAATTATTCTTGCGGGAGTAAGTGATAACAAGATATGACTCTACAAATGCATGCGATATATTAGGCATAACAAGCCACTCCGACACGAGCATATTACTGGGACATCACCATCTAAAGTTTGCGTATCGGAGAGCGAACACCCAGGTAGGCTGTCACTTTTCCTTAGGTAGAGTTGCCACATTTGAGATATTCTTTCAGCCTCATTGTATAACCTTAAGAGGAGATTGGACAAACAGGTACTAACCGATGGGCTAGCATCATTTTGTTTGATCAGTTGAGTCTGGTTCATGTCTCATAAATCACCACGGTTATCATTGCCGGATATCGAGGACTGCTTCTTATGTATGCGTTTATTATCTGCGTTTCATATCTTTCGCTTTAAGTCCCTCATTCTTGCACATCACCAGCTGGTTATTTTATTTGCTATGCTTGAAATAATCGTTTTCATTTAGCACTCGAATTTTCAGTTTATTATTTTCACGTTCTGAACAACTGACCTCCTCCTCGTTAATGAGATAGACGCTGTAACTAGGGCCTTTTCAATCCTGAGACACATGCACACACTCAAGCCACGAGATATACAAATCCACAAATAACTACCAAACTGAATAAATTAGTGCAATCGAGTGGTTAGACTACTACCCATCAGATATAACCAACTACCTGGGACCACACCAAAACAAAGAGTAGCGAGCGCAAAGTAGTCAACTGATTCATACAAGCCTATGACACAAGTATTGGATACTGGAAAACAAACACCGTATGAGACTTTGCGGTATGGTTAAATCGGCCTCGTCAAGAAATTTTGATACTTTCTTACCTGCCGAGAAGTAGGTAGTATGAAATATTATTACACATATTTAACGCAGTATCGCTGCTGAATGAATGGAAGGAAAATTATGGCAGTCAAGGAACGATGGAATACCCAAACTCACCTCAAACTCGTCGACAATTACAAAGCATAACACAGATCCGTGTTATGCTTAAGGAAACCTCGTTTCCTTTAGCTAATAAATAGAAAGAATATACGTTACATACATGAATACACGTCAATTGGCGTTTTATAAAATGTAAAATTCACATATAATTCAGTTAAGCAAACCTTAAAATACACCACCGACTTGATGCTCTTCAAAATTGAAATGACCCCTATGAGGTAAACCATTCAAGGTCGTTGAAACAAAAGAGAGGTAACTTTGGTTTCAAGCTTCCATGTGGTTAAACTATATTTCTAATTTCTACAATAATATTGCCTTGATCGTAGGCTTGTGCTTCTGCTAATTGTTTTCTATATCTTTCCGTAATAAATATAGGCACATTGTGTGCACAAGCTGATTTTCCAACCTACCTTTCCTTATGTTCCGTTTCCTAACCTCGCAAGTGTGCGTGTTACCCTAGTACACACAGTACCTTCCGGCTAGACATGAACGGCTACAACTGGCTTTTATACTATTCGCAAGAGTTAGGTGCATCTGGATCTCATTCTTATTCTAGGGATTTCAGTGAAGGTGAAATATCCCAACTTTGGGAAATAGCACAAAAACCACAAATTTTACACAAAATGGCTCACTTCCCCAAAATTAGATGCTCGGGATATGGAAGACCTTAAACTGCTTTCTGTTAGACGACAAAGCAGTCTGGTTATAAAATGGTTTACGATAAATGTGTGATTCAATCACAACTGGTGCATACATTTGGCATGGGTTATGAAAATGTATGTGTAAGTCACCGCAGTTTTCGTTACACATTAACAGCAGCGTGGTCAGAATCTGGTTCGTCCATGTACTGAGTTTTCGGTCGTAATAGTCCTAATTTTCCAGATCTCAGGAATTCTGTATTGTTGATTCTTACAGACTTTTAATAATCGAATGTTAAATTACCTTCTGTTATTTATGAGTCTCCGAATTTCGGTGTTCTCTTCTCAAGCTTTCCACACACACTACTCTGCACACTCTCCCGTCACCCGAAATGTCAGCAGGTGGAACGGGAATCGCCATACAAGCACAATGATATTCTTGACTACAAATCTACTGCATATCACATGAATAGCTGGGAGTTAACGAAATTATTAATTGTTGTCATTGTATCACTTGCTTTCATTTTACTAGGGACACGAAACTCATTGGGAAAATGTGTTTTTAAAACGAAATTTAGGATGATATCAGAGCATTGAAAAATTGGGTTAGCTTATCGACCCAGGTGGAAATGAAGTTGCTCCAGTAAATTTTTTGCAGTGCTACAGCACTTGTAGTTTTAAAACTATACTAAACTACGCCTCGCAGGGGACATGAAGCAGTATAAAAGTTGAGTAACCCTGTAAGAATAATGTCCTAAATGTACATTAACAAGTACTCTTATAAAGACTAGCTTAGCTTCAAATAATGGAATCTTGTAGTTGCAGGTAAGTGATACACAGTTACATCTGTAAATGAATTCGGAAAAGTATCTACTCAAAGGTTTCTTTCTTCAATACTAATATAGGTCTATTGACCTCCTATTCTTCAAAAGCGAACTGTTACAAGTTTTGAAATATTGTAAAGCTCCTGTACAGAATGTCAAATTCTATCCATATATTTTATATACACGTGTATTGTTATTGGGAATTGTTGAAATATTGTACGTTTACTTAGTTCTGTCTATCAACTTCTACTTTATGGTATTTGTTTACACTAAACCATAATGATCTATTAATTGCACTGTATCGTAGTATATGATATCTTTCTTTTGATAGATCATAGATCTTATAGAACGAATACTATCAGCCCATTTTCTCAATACCTAGCGAAATCAGAACTTTTAAAGGGGATATATAAACTAATTTTTATTCGTTAATTTATCAACTTCAGATCCAAATGTGAGTTGCTTCACACAATTTTTGTGTATAGTTCTCTTTATTTGTCTTGCCGTGGCATTTTTGTTTTATTGCTGTTCCCAGTCCCAGGAATGCAGAAAATATTCTAATTAGTTAGTTAACAGTAAGGTTAGCTTATCGTATATATATATATATATATATATATATATATATATATATATATATGTATATGTATATTATATGTATATGCCTTTGCTGCAGTGTCATTGATTTCGAATGAATTCTGCAGGGAATCACGTAAATGAATAATAGGAGTCGAAACAGTATTTCTGAAGTTTCCACTGTTTCTGGAACATCTTAAATATGTTGAGTTTTTAGGTCAAGTTCCTTTATTAGTCCCAAGTTTACTTAGGGATAAGGTTTAACAAAAAGTCGCTGAAACACGTACATTGCAAAATGTACACGTCAGAAATATTTCACAGCTGTAAGTGAGCAGCCGCTTCAGAAATTATTCTACAGATTTCGAGTTACTATTTAGTTAGCACTAGCGACTTAATGATGGCAAGATGACTGCGAAAAGTCTGCTGCTGTTTTAAATGGTGTTTTTTCATTTGATTGATGTCGAATTAGCCATACTTGTTTAATCAGTCTATTTATTATGCGTTTTCAAATGATCCTGGTTGTCAAACCTGAGTTATGAGTTAAATCCGATTGCTGTGAATAATATTTGACGCTGTTAGGAAAAAACGGTATCTAACTTAAAGGTATGATGAAATGTGGCGGTTCTCAGTAACCTCTTATTATGTGATCTTTTATGATCCTTATTGTGGATAATAACTCACTGTTTACACTGACTTAAAATGTTTACAAATGTATCGGATTTATAGAAAGTTTAAAGAATAGTGGCATTTGTAATTGAAGTTTGAACAATAATTTCTAGTTGTAAACGGTTAAAGTGATCTTTCTGATATGGAATGGGACAAACGTGATAGATTGAACGGTTACTAAATTACGATTCGATGATTATCCATAGCGTGATGGATGAATAAGTCTTGTAAGGAATTCTGGCGTCTTCACAGATACAACTTTCTTACAAATCTCTTTTATTTGCGTGTGTTTTGTATTAGTCGTCCAGTTTATCTAGTACGCATATATTCTGTTTCGTATTGAAACCAATCGCTCATAATTCGAAATAACCGTACTCAGTCGCAATGCAAAGTAAGCTGAACCTGGAAATACGATTCGTGAATTATTTTCAATCATACCGCGCACTGAATTCAGGTGGTAATACTCCACTCTCAATATATCGCTCCTAATTAAGTTATTTTCCGAATCTCTAATGGCCGTCCATTTTAGTGTTGCATGGGTCAACGTTATGTTAGGTATTGAACAGTGACTAGATATATAATTTGATCTCGGTGAAATATACGATTTAACCAAACTATTTGAACATCTTTACCAGTAGGTACACACAACTGTTATTTTTGTTTAGCTATCATCTACGTCTTTTTCACTTTAGCGCATTGATGGAAAATGCTATTCAAGTTTGGATTCATATAACTCCGTATAATTCCGTTTTCATCCTATTATTTACTTAAAATGACTAAGAAATGTGTAACACCTCAAGCTTAACCAAATAAATTGATGCAGTGTGTTTATATCACTCACCTTTCATAGACAACGTTTCTTTACGTTTACTGTGCAATCTCAACGTGTATCTCTGATTGATTAAGCAACAATTTTATGTATTGATATCAGTCAGTCAGTAACAACGTAGAACTTCGTACGTACGTACATCAGTTCGAGTTGCCACACCACATTAGCACAGAGATGCAGTTGTCGATTCAAATCCCGTAGTGGTAGAGGTAATAAGAGTATAAGCAGTAATCGGGAAGAATTCAGAAGATTAGAATTTGGGAGAACACAGAGAGTGGATGCACCTGCTCCATTGCAAACGATTTTGAGCCATGTCATTCAGGGTCTCTAACCATCGGTTGCTATCATCTCGCGGTGCCCAACCAGGTAGTCTACACCTACCAACATGACTCAGTCCACTTGTCAATGACTTCATGGACTTGTGCCAATTTTTTGGTCTGGCCGCCACTAGCTTTCTTCCAACCTACTTCTATACCACTGAACATAGCACGTCGAGGCAGTCGGTGGTTGGGCATACGTAGCACGTGTCCCAGCCATCTCAACTGATGAAGTTTCACTACTTCATCAATTGATTTGCCATCCTTACCTAGTACCCGTTTCCTAACAACTGTGTTACTATGTATTGATATTCAGCTACAGCAAGAACTTTTTGTCATTTCACTTAGCCATACGCAGATCGCAAGGAAGTAAAATGTGTATAGATGATAATCATTGAATGTTATATTCAATATGATTTGAAAGGGTATAAATATCTACTATTAAACAACTTCATATTGTAGGTTGCACTTGTTGTTATTTTTTGTTCTGAATTCTGTGTTCTTCGAACATGTTAATGGAGAACGTGAATGGGATTATTTCGTGTTTAGTCAAGAATGGCCACCTACTTATTGTTCTACCCATACGGTAAGCGTGTATTAGTCTTTCATGTTTTAATGAATGTTATTTTGATTGTTAAATGACCATTGTCATGACTTTTTTCTCAATATTGATTGGCAAAGTATTTTGTAGCATTTTCGAAAATTGAATTTACTCTCAAGTTCATTTTGCTACTGCATCAACGATTTATTTCTTGCGGCTATCAATGTTAAATTGTATTTAGTGCCTTGAGATCAACTGTCTTTTGAATAAACCACTTTATTTATTGTACCGTTTCGATCATTCTTGTGTTTGTTTGTCAATTATTGTTGTCATTATTTTGGATCCTTTGTATTTCTGTGTTCTTAATTTACTCATTGTGTTGATATGTACTGTCCCATAATAGATCAGTGTATATATATATACCAGGTGCCAAATCGTTAATGGCCTTCTACTAATGTTTAAAATCGATCAGAATGATTTAAGGTGTACTTATTTACATATCACCCAACTTGAATTTAATCATACTATCAATCAAATTAACAAGATTGTTCACTCTCATAGTTCTTGGATTAATGATGATGTTAATATTTAGTATTTAATCATTTTGATCATTTCACAATTTTTCTTTTATTATATCATTTATTTCGATTTGTTTCTTTTTATTCAGTGTAAACTTCCTTACAAATTCGACGATTTCAATATTCATGGACTATGGTAAGTTACGGGTAGCTTCTTTCAGCACATTTAAATCAGATTTCTTGAAATGTGTTGATATTTTTGGAATTAATTTTACCAACCTCTTTAAAACAACAAACGATGTCGTTATACCCTACAACCGCCCAATACGCGTAGATGACCGTAAGCAACCAATATGCAGCAAGGACGAGGAAGATTGATACTCTACGCCCGTAAGATTGGTCCAATAATAAATAGCTCCGAACGACAAAGAAGAATGCAAGACCGATATTCACCAATTCAAGATCTTTGTCATATTTTAGACAAGACCAAACCACTCAGCAGACCAATTAAGTAACAGTATTAACAAGGAACAACAATATTTATGATGGGAAAAACAGGGTATTGGATAAACAAGTAAGTGGTTCTAGTTTATAAGTGTGAAATGATATAGCAACAATTTATGATCAAATGAAATACTACAGGGGTTCTTGCTCACATAACGTGCGACACCGAATTCTACGACGATTGACCCGGTTTCTCCAGCTGAAACAATCTTTAGAAAGAAAATTAAAAGACTTCCAAACAATTTGAGGCCCTTCTCGAGAACGGCTACAACGCATCCGAAGAAAACTAACCAGGTTAAAAATGAACCATAATGACTGGTTTGTCAACCATGTTTGTTTTAAAAAAGGAAGGTACTGTAAGAGATGATTTAATAATACGATATATATATATATATATATATATATATATATATATATATATATATAGTGTTTATTAGGTATCTTGGTTTTATTATTTTTGTATTATCCTAGTCCCACGCTTTTATTTGAACTATGAATTGTTGCTGTATCATTTCACACTTATAAACTAGAACCACTTACTTGTTTATCCAATACCCTGTTTTTCCCATCATAAATATTGTTGTTCCTTGTTAATACTGTTACTTAATTGGTCTGCTGAGTGGTTTGGTCTTGTCTAAAATATGACAAAGATCTTGAATTGGTGAATATCGGTCTTGCATTCTTCTTTGTCGTTCGGAGCTATTTATTATTGGACCAATCTTACGGGCGTAGAGTATCAATCTTCCTCGTCCTTGCTGCGTATTGGTTACATAAGGTCATTTACTCTGGTTGCTATTATATTTTTGTGATTATGAATATACTATTGCCATACTGTTGCTAGTTATACTTTTGAATTCTCTGGGAGTTATTTGTCTTGATAATTTGATTGTTTTATTTTGATTTTGTATGGTAACTTGTGGTGATCCACGTATATGCCAGGTTCTACTTTACTTGTGATTGCCATTACTGCATAATTGTTCAAACACAGTCAGACGAATGAGTTTTATCATCATTTTTACCAAACTGTCATGTGGATACTGTGAGTCAATATGACAGTCTTCTAGTTAATAATAAATCTTTAAAATGTTACGGAGTTGTTAGCTCTGATGGCCATCTTATGTTTTGTCCAATTAAATTGACATTACACCATAAGCTCTGACGCGAATAGTGGCATGTATGTATGTATGTTTCTAAGATATAGTCCCTACATTATCCAACATATTGCTTAGTATATTTGCTTACTGGGCTATTAAATGAAAAGATGTAGACTTTGTAGTACTTTATGTTTTTTAAAACCGTCCATAGTTTCGTGATAAATTAAGTGATGATTGCATTATTCTTAAATATGTTTTTGTTCAATATAAGTGATGTTGTTAGATCAACTATCTTTGTTAATTTAATCACATTTTGCTTAACATATATTTTGATTTTGAATGTAGGCCAAGTATATGGCCATATGGTATTCCGACAAACTGTTCAAATAAAACACCTTTTGAACTCGAAAACATCAAGGTAAATTTATGAAATCAATTTTTTATAATTTTATATACTGTCTGGTAAAGCTGTAGATTTTACATTTGTCGTATTGTTTAGTCACTTCACGTCACGTCACTTTAGCCCCCAAATGAACTGATACGGCTGAAAGTGTGAGTGTTATCTCTCCCTCTTGAAATTCTCTCACATGGCCATGTGCATGCAACCATCGCTAAGGAAGTCCTACTCACTGCCTTCTTGCGGAGAGGGTGTTGTCTACAAAATTGAAAGGACAAAGAGCGAATGTCCGGCACTTTAACCGGGTTAGTGGATATGGAGAGTCACTTAGAAGAGTCAGAAAACCCTGATTCCAAACCAATGGTGCACATGGGCTGGCTCCAGGATCCTGAATGAGCAAATGGTGTATAAACCAATTGTTGGTGACTGGCTACCATGAGACTGTATCTCTGACGTTGCCCCACTGCCTTGTTGATTAGACCTTCAGGTCGAAGGCTCCGGGTGTGGCCCCATAAGAAAACTACCTGCTTCGGTTTAGGCACCCAAGCAGTATCTTAGCCCTCACATAAATCGAATGATTTATGTGGCGCATATCTATTTGTTGCCTTCTTGTACGAATGTTTATGTTTTTAAATAAATAAATAATTGTTTAATCAGAATTTTTCTTGCACTTTTACTCAGAAATCATTTTTCCATAATACTGTGATTGTCTTGTGACCGTTAACCAATGGTCCCATATGCCTACTTTTATCAGCTATACTTTAGTTGTGTAGCATATATGTTGTTTATATACATGTTCTGATTTTGTGAAGAGGCTTTGTTGACATTGATGTCAAACTTTCTATAGTTCGGTAGATTGATCCTTTATGGCCGACTATATTGCATATGATGCATCTATGGTTTTTGAAGTGGAAAATCTTTTGAAGTCTCACGCACCACTGTACCAATATTTAGTTGGGTACGAAATAATAACGTTTGTTTACGGAACATTTTATTTTAAATGTTAACCCTTTCATCGGAACGGATTTTTCATGGGTGTTTATGCAGAATCGGTTTTTGATGTCGATATTGGTAATATAGTGAGTCAATAAAATATCTTCCCATCCCCATATGATGCACGAATGAAAGCAGAAGTTTTCTAGTAATTTTGAAAATGATCACAAAGGGAGGGCATGACACAGTAAACCACTTGGAATAATCCTGCACCCATCCTCACATAAGGGTGTATCACCAGCAAAGTCAGTGTTAGGAAGTAGGACTCTGGTTTCACTTGATGACATGTATTCACACTTTGGGATGCAGGTACATCCAACTGACGAGTCTTAAATAGGACGAAACGTGCGTCTTGGGTTCCACTGCTAGCCATTATTGATTTTTGCTTAAAAAAGCTTGTGACTTAAGGCTATATCGTGGCAATCCGCATAGGATGCACATATGCCAACATGAGACTGATCATTTATAGTCCTAAATAACAATGGGAAGATACAATTAAAACAACACCAAGTATATGGAACTAATGGTTAGCGGTCTCAAGGAACAACAAAATAAGTTCAGTATAAAAGATGTTTGATAATCTTGTCTTTGTATTGTACGATAGCTTCAGTTATGTGGATTTGTAAGTTCACAAGTTCAACTCTTATCTTAGAATCATTCAGTTATGGCTTGTAATCCGAATTCGTTCATTTAATTTCGAGTAACCGTTTCTCACAAAACAGTTGTCGTTTATACCAATGCTGCTGAAACTTGATGGCCAAATTAATCGTTTCATTGTCACAGAAGCTTTCATGGGTATTTATAATGCATGTACCTCAGTAGCCAAATATGGATTCATACGGTCGGTTTTAAAGTTTACTGCTTTGTGATATCTGACGACAATACTTGGTTGTACAAAACTGAGTAGGTAACTATACATTGCTCTGCTTGCGTGTAGTTTCGTTTATTTTAGATCTTCAGTACTAAGATTATATATTCTCGATAGATGTCCTCAAACGATTGAAAAAGGAATTCTCAGTCTTCGAAAAGTAGTACTTATGAAATTTGTGTAGCTTAGAGAAGAATACAGATAGTTCTCAAAGTGTTCAGTTGTTTAAAAACTAATGTTTACTAAGTGGTGTTTAACTTAGTGTAGTTGAAGATGCTTTATTAAATGTAATTCATTTGCTAAGTACTCTAGTTCTTAAGCTTTAGATGAGCTTCAAAACTACAACCAAGTGGTTGATACCTGGGAGCCTTAACTACTAAGTCACTGTGACATCAAATATTTTCACTTACAAACTCACTTATTTTTTAATGTCATTCCTCTTCGTGTATGCACTATTTATCCTTCATTGATATTAGATAGCTTATCAAGGATTACATAGTTTTATAAAGTGACATCTTTAAGACGTATAAAAATCAAGAAACTAGATTGATTATAATACTTCAGTTCGTAGATTCAATTTATCCATATTTTGTCATATTGTCTCTACTTTGTAGCCGATTTATGGTGAATTACAGAAACAATGGGCTAATCTGAATGACTTTGACAATCCCGAAGAATTCTGGTAAGATTCTATTTTGTATAACTGTGTACTGATCCTGTTAAAAAACTTTTAGTGATCATGGAAATATAAGGTTCATAATATAGTCTGATTATCTTAGATATTATTATAATCCTACTACTCAAATAAATTAGAGGAGGAACAAATATTGATACAGAATAGTATGAATTCATAATATTTCGAAGTTTCTCGTTAGCTGCTTACAAACCAAAAAAATGTGATAGAATTTTTACATTTGAGATAATGTGAAACGATGACATAAATGAGTGTAACTAACTGAATTACAATAATAACTATATAAATATGCTAGAAGATGTTAGAGGTTAAAAAAGGTAGTTAATTCAAGGTGAGTGGTGTAATAGTTCATAAATTGTGTGATAATTTTAGAGATTATTGGAATTGAATTGTTGGGATATTCAGGAAAATATCCCAGAATTATCCTGTTAAGCCTAATACTATCCTTGGACATGAAATAGTATCATCTTATTGGTCAATACTTATTTAACGTGTCATTTTCCTACTGGCCATTGTTGTACAATGTTATCTTCTATTTTATGGTACGTTGTGGACTGTTTGATTGGTATATAAACAAAGTATGTTTGAAATATAATGATTCATATATCCGAGGCTGAGACTTTTGTTCTGGACTCAACTGGCTGGGCTAGACAGGGAAGCGAGACCAATCAGAACCCTAGGTTGTTCTACGTGTTTGCGCGTCTTTGGTCCGATCAATAATTCGCTACCCTCAATCAGCAGCATACATTTTTCACGTTATAACATGAATAATGATCAGATGGATTACGTCATAATAATGAAATAGAATTTGAAAAGTGAACATAATTTAAGAGGTTCAGGTGGTGGAAATGTGTGAATAATAATATGGTTTCAGAATTAGTTAATATGGGGAGGAATAAAAATATTTTAAAATAAATAAATGAATAAAATAACGGACAAAAAAAGCAAAAAAAATCAAGGATTACCAGGGTAATGATAAGTTTATTACTGTCTCTTTTTGAGTGCATAAATCCGGTTTACGATTTTTTTATCGCAATTGCTTCAGTGAAACGGAGAGTAGTCGTATTTCTTTGTCTATTGATAATTTTAAAAGCGTGCAAAATGTTGACGGTATGCCCGGTGTCAATTAAATGCCGAGCTATTGCACTGTTTAGAGCCTTAGTCCCTCGCAGCCGCAAGTTCTTCGGAACATGCTCAGAAATGTGAACATGTACTCTTCTCTCAGTTCTTCCAACGTATGTGCTTTGGCACTTACATGTAAATTGGTAGATACAGTTGGAGCTACTAAGAAAAGAGGACTTGTCGATTTTAGTTTGTTTAAGTGAGCAGTTCGTTTGCCATACTGTCGTAAGTTTTGCTGCTGCGTAGGCCACTTTTCAACACTATCTCAAATGTAAAAAATTCTATCACATTTTTTTGGTTTGTAAGCAGCTAACGAGAAACTTCGAAATATTATGAATTCATACTAATCTGCATCAATATTGTTCTTGCTCTATTTACATTCATAAAGGGAACCAATTGCATGAAATTGGAGGAGACATGTCTCTTATGACAACGTCACGCAGAAGTGCACTTGGATCTCATAAATATTGTATTCGATATGTAAAGTAGAATAATGGTAAACCATAACCTATCTAGGATAGATTAAATAATCAGTTAACTTAGACAGACTTTTCCAGTTTGACTACCCAGATTTTTTATTCTAAAGACGATTCTTAATCAAGTTTATGTTAGCAGCATGAAGTACATGTTTTCGATCATGAATGTGTGAGCCATTTTGCTTTCGTAGGTATAATATGTGGTTGTTCCCTCAGTTCACTATGTCACATTGAACGAGAGGGATAAGAAAATATATTTCTTGCTTACTACGATTATGACAGCAGCCCTGGGAGTGTTTTATTACCAGCTGGAGTACAACCAACATCTCCAGCTTGTAAAGTTCATGACCAACGATTGTTGCCACAACACAAACACCTATATGGAATACAGATTTAACTCTGGGTACAAGTGAGGGTTCAGCAATCCAACTGATTTTAAGTGACACATTTATTCTTTGGCTGCGGATTATCAGCTGATGACTTGTTGAACACTAAAAACAAGTCATTCTTACAAGATGGGATAATATAACTGGCGATTACGTTCAATTCAATGGTCTTGTCCACATAACTCAAATTCAGGGATGTATTATGACTAAGCCTTCTTCAGTGTGAAGCGATGTATGACTGTATCTTACAGATGATACTTAATGAAGAATGTCGAATGTCCACTACATGCGACAATATGAATGATGTAATTCGTGAACTTTGTCTTTCTTTAGGCGGTTCTGATAAAACATCTCAATGGTAACGTCTTGAACTGTGAAGCTAGGTGACACGGGCTTGATTCCTACAGGGAGCATCAATTTTCTTTAGATTGCAGTACCAACTATCGATTCCCTTTTGCCCACACTGCGGAAGTGTACTTATCATGATGTTTTAATAGAAATTAGTTTAGCAGTAGTCCTAACTACCTGAGAGCGTGACTGGTAGACCTTAAGGGACAACTGGATGAAGCAAGGAAGATTCCCTTTTTTCCATTAGTTTTATGTATATTAGCTCTACGCTTTTAACGCCGTACCCCTTTGTCAGCAATCTGTGGGGCAAGTAATATACAATAAAAGTGTTGAAGGGTAAAAAAATGTAATTAGTCCATCGGTATCATTTTCGGGTTCCATTTGTACTTGTAGGAAAATTTCACTCCTTCCTGTTATCTTAAACATAATGTTTTTGCAAAAAAGACAAAAAAATACGAACTCGTGTTTATTCCAGATACCAAGCTTCTTAGGCTAATGGTTGCACGCAGGGTTTCACAATTAGACCAAGATCTCAAACAAAATGATTGTACGTGACACCATAGTTCTTATAAGTTGTTAAGCCAATGTAATTCAGTCACTAAGTTCTTTATTATGCATTGTGAAGGTAAAAAATATCGAGATTGCTTTGTAAGTACTTCTCAACGGCGAGGTAAATTAGCCTTACAATTTCCCCTACCTAATTAGTGTCAATGATAATTTAATTAGAATGTAAGATAATGGCAACAGTTGATGTTTTATGGTAAACAGTATTCACTTGACATTGATTACTGAATTCAGATTATTTACAATGGATGTAAACTAAGACAAATATAAATTCTCTTGTTTCAGTTCATACAACGGCACGGATTCAGTAGGCCTCGAGTAGCTTCTGCCAACTTGCGTCACTTGTAGTGTAGATGATGTATCTATCTCTTAACCAGAGGGCGAGTTTACTGCGCAGCAGTTCGCTCCGTCCTACTTTATTTGTGTGAAACATGGTCGTTAGGAATGCAGAATATACGTAGGTTACTAGTATTGGATCATAGGTGTCTTCGAGGCATTGCTCGTGTATTTTTGGATCATCAGGTAAGTACTACCTGGATTAGGAATAGAGTATTAGGTTGGGATAGAAAATCGGTTAATGAGGTTGTAAATCTTCATCCACTGATGTGGTTGGGGCGTGTGTTACGTATGTACATTTACTGCCTACCTCGACGAGCAATGTTTTATGGTGCAGGAGTAGGCTGGAGAAGAGTTAGGGGCGGCCAAACCAAAATATGGCATCACCCCATGAAGTTAGTGACAATTGAACTTAGCCATGTTATTAGGTACAGACTACTTCGTTGACGTACGTGTAATTATCATAACCAATGATACGAGACTTTGAATGAAATGCCCCATAATCGTTTGCATTGGCGCAGGCGCATCGATTGTTTGTCTTCCCCCAAATTCTGAGGTTCGGAATTCCTCAAAACGTTTTTGTTTTTATTTCATTGATTCATATTTTTCTTAAACTGTACCTTTGATTTCTGATCTTTTTAATTACCGTTCATACTGTCACTATCCCTGCTATTCTGGGATTCGGACTGAAAATTTTATCCCTTTGTGCTGATGGAGTATAACAACTTGAATCGATGCACATAAGTACCAGGTTGTATATTGTGACTGACTGGTTGATAATATTTAGGAACTTCACATATGTGATTAAACAGTTTCACGTCCTCAAAATTTTGCATACTTTTCGTCTTACACAACATATTAATATTGTTATTACGAATAAGGGCAACATTATTAATAATCAGAGATGGGAAGTGGCTAGGAGTGGGATCCATGACGCACGAATCTATTTTAACGTGCATTAATTGCCTATTTTGGACTCGTCAGCTTGATGTGCCTGCATCTCACAGTTGATGATCACTCTGGGACTCAAATCTGAGATGCAGGTATATCCAGCTGATGAGTCACAAATAGGGAGAAACGCGAGTCAAACTGAATTTCACGGCTAGCCACTATCGATCTTTGTTTATAACTGTTCTAATAGTTCGTTTATAGCTTCCATAGAATGGTGATAAAATAGATCGATTAAAAACTTTGAATAAATCTACTCCGTTTAAAAAACTGAGCTAATATTATGAACAAGATCCATTATTGAATGTCATTTAAATAGCTTAGAATATGGATAATTTCTTTAAAATGTCTCGCTTTTATTTATTTGAATACATTAATATTAGTACAAAGGGGCACCGAATAAATATACGCCACACGGGTCACTTGAATTTTGTATGGGATGATACTACCTGGTTACTGAAACCAAAAACAGGTGGTTTTCTTGGGGGTTCACACCAGTAGTCTTCGACCTAAAGGTTTGATCTACAAGGCAGTGGATCAACGTAAAGAGATGCAATCTCATGGTAGCTGGTGGTTTGGGATGAGGATTTTTCATTTCTCCTCGGTGGACTTTTTGTGTCCACCATCCTGGTTAAAGCGCCAGACATTCTCTTTTCGTGTTGTCAATTTTGTAATCAACATCCCAGTCACTAGAAGGCAGTGAGTAGGATTTCGCTGACAGTGGCTGTATAAGGGCGACCATGTGAGAGCATTTCGAGAGGGACAGTTGACTCTTTTCACCCTTGGCCGTATCAGGGCATTTGGGGGCCCTATGGTCCCATTAAAGAATGTCTTTGAGATAGCTTGGAATGTGAATAACTTCTTGAAAATATCTCGCTTATTAGTTTATACGACTGATACTTAATATATTGAATTCATTTCAGTATGTTAGTTAGTAAATTTCAGTAACTTTCTTTGTACTTTTATTATATCATCACATGGGTTTACATCTAGATTACTGTATTTTAAATAGTGTTTTATAGAACACTTATTGACAAAGCAACTGTAATTGTTCTATTAAGTTATAGATGTTTTCATTAAATATATAATTTGTAAGTACTTAGTTTGTCGTCATTACGTTTATAAGTACAAAATTATATATACAATGATTAATAATAGCACATTTACTCGTTCTACAAAAACTGCAGTCTGTAATGATGATATTGTTAAGAAGAACAATGAATGTTCCGAAATCAAACCATTCAGTTCAGAGAATAAAACTCCACCTTAATCATCCACATGAGCTACAAATATTCTCCATCCATATCAGTGTAGTTACCATTGAGTTTAGTAAATGTTTTTTTCTCTTCAAGATTCATTCACTCGAACGGACCACGGTCATCTTATTGACTGAATTGTTTAAATAAAGAAATAAGCAAATCAACAGGTTTTAAAATAGGCTTTAGAATGATAAAATATTTCGGTTTACAGTTATTCATTTAATTTGTTTGTTCGTTCAATGATTATCCTAGTCCCATAATAGGATGATACTACCATCCAGTACTTCGAGGTTTTCCATGGTGGTATCTAGCTTCGATTTGACTCATGAATTCAATTACTAAATTACTACAATCTCGATAAAACCCCTCTATGGTCTTTTTTGTTTTAGGAAATATGAATGGAGTAAACATGGTGTTTGTGCCGCAAGTGATGATTCATTTATATTAAATGAATTGGATTATTTCAATGTTTCACTTGGGATAAAATTGAAAATGAATTTAATGAGGTAATATCTTACGTCAACATCATTGGTTGTTTTTTTGTATATCAATGTTTAGTGTACAATCATTATTTTGTTTGTAAATGTATAAGACTAGATGATGAGAAGGCGGAGGAGGAGGAGTCTACTGGTCGATGTCCGCTTAATGGCTCGCCAACGAACAGTTGACAAATGATTCATGAATATGAATTCTTCATTTGATCTCATCTATTCTACTTAAGCTAATCCAGTTTGGGCGACGGAGGTAATAAAAGCCAAATACAAAAAATAACCTGAACGAATTTGTTTCAAATACTCGTTTACTCAGGCAGACGTGAAGATGAGTGATGGAGAAGGTCGACACTCCAACCTCATGAGTAATAGGTGAAGAAGATACAAGTATACGGACAGATGCTCACTAGCATGGATGATCAAGGTTGCAAGTGAGTAGTTGGCTAGAGCAAACACACGGCTGATAGAACAGATAGAAGGATTAGAATAATTTATCTGTTTCAAAGTTTGGAAAAATCATATAGTCTTCCTGCCTGTTGACTCCAGAATACTAGTCCACGACATCGTATATTTCAAACATACTGGGTTTATATACAAACCAAACAGAATGCATCACACCATAGAATAGAAAGTAACATATGTACAAGATTTAGCCAAAAGTAGCTGTGAATGTGGAAGACTGTAAATAGTAGACTTGGAATAATTCAAGAACGGTAAATCGTATAACAATAGTTTATGGGTCAAAATAAAGCTTCTAATAAGAGGAACATGAATATGACTAGTTCAATTACAATAAAAATAGATGTATAGTATTAGTCTAGAAATAGATTCCAACAGTTACCATTTATTATTCTTATCGGGATATAACATAAAGTTTTCTGTTACCCTTAATACTATTCTCGTCGCTCATTATATATTATAGGAATGTCTGCTAAGAGCATTTAGCATAATGATTTCAGGTTGAAATATGTTCCGCAATCCAAACTGTTTTCTTATCTGATCTTCAAGTGTTTTTTGTATGCTGTGCTTTAAATGTGCTGAAACTCTTCCTCCCGTTTGACGACTGCGACAGCTTCGACTTCACGCTTCGCTAAATACTACTTACAAGAAATCTTGTGAGTAGTGTCTACCACACTACTACTATTCTTACCAGTGCTTTAATATTCATCTTGTTAATTTCCCCCAGGTTCTACTTTATTTATGATTGACTGAATAACTAACTGTGTCAAATCATATAGAATCATTGATTTGGACATGAACATTCTTGTTTATCACCAATGAAGAATGATTATATCTACTTGTAAATATCATCGCTGTTAGAAATAAATGACAGTGTGATATGGTTTATCAGATTAGGAACATTTACAAAAAGGTGTATGAAACATTCACTATCATTCGACAAGATAAACTATGTTATGGTGAATTGTATGAGGTAAATACCATATATTGTATGTTGTCTTCATATGATAAAAAATAATCTGAAGTGTTTATATCCTTATTAGATAACATGATTAAAAGATTTCTAAGGGACAATTTATATGATTTATAACTGTTTAATTGTCATTCATATTAAGGTTAATGGTTCTTCAAAATATCTTTTATGTTAAGTTGGTTGTTTGAATTGAAATTCCTGTTGAGGATCAGATGCAGACGTAAAGTCGAGGATTGGCAAAGCAAGGGCCGCATTCCTACGATTGACGAATATATAGAACCCAAAACAACTTCCAACCAATATCAAAGTCAGAATTTCCAATACGAAAGTCAAGACAGTTCTACTGTATGGAGCTGCAATTTGGTGAAGTACTACAACCATCATCAAGAAGGTACTATTATTTATAAATAGCTGTCTACGCAAGATACTCAACATCAATTAGCCGGATACCATCAGTAACAGCCTTCTGTGGGAGAGAACAAACCAGCTTTCAGCTGAACAGGAAATTAGGAAAAGACGTTGGAAGTGGATAGGACATACATCACGCAAATCATCAAACTGCATCACGGGACAAGCCCTAACATGGAATCGTGAAGGAAAGCGGAAAAGAGGAAGGCCAAAGAACACATTACGTCGGTAAATAGAAGCAGATATGAAAAGGAAAGAGCTAGAAAGAATTGCCCAGAACAGGGTTGGATGGAGAATGCTGTTGAGAGCGTCCTATGCTCCTTCACGAGGAGTGACAGGCATAAGTAAGTAAGTACGTCTGTTACTCTCAATGGAGCATAGGTCACCGGCCAGTATATATGGGATGTTTAAATACAGCACTATAGAAGGAAGGAAATCAGTATTGATTGAACATGAATTGTTTTTTGTTTTAAATCAATTTATTCCGTGGGAATTCTGTTCATGAACTTTCGATGCAGTTGTCGTAGACGATTTGTGTTCACTGATGATATCTTCGTCACTAAACCATAATTATTGTAATCGACTCATTATAATTAATCATTTTAAGTATATTTTAAATTCTATTGGATCTTGGTTAACAAGCATTTATATAACAACTGAACTTTTCACTTTAGTTAAAGCAGGAGATAAGAAGAGATAGTAAATAGTCTTGTTATAGTTGTAAAATCGTAGTTTAGTGCATGTGGACATCGATTTTTCACTTTGCTAGTTTTTTATAGCTTGCTCCACTTATAAGGATTATATTATCCAATTGATTCTGTTATGTTTTATTACGGGATCTTATTAATCGATGAATATACTTTTACATGAGAGTTGTGCTCTGGGTAATTTTACTACTTATTGGTGAATAAGATCTTCTGGGGAAAGTATAAATTCTTTTCTCAACTGATGAACAGAGAGAAAGGTAATGAGATGCAGTTAGAATTAGTGATAATTAGTTTTGTGTATTGGCTGTTGCTATGTCAAACCCACATGGGTTATTCTATCTTCCTGACAGACCAATTTATTCGTTCGTCTTGAGCCGCTTTTTAACCTTGTGCCTGTTCTAATATGAGTGTGTTTATTAATCCCTTACTCTACTTACCACATATCTGTAACATATTTTTGTCTGACTATAAATATTGTGTTACGCTTGGTTGAATGGTGCTGACTCGCTCTCCTTCTCCACTGCACGTCATTTTATTTCAATTCGCTTCCTTCAATGCGTCTCCCTGATTGTCTGTTCAGATCACCGATTGTACGAAATGTGCGTATTTGAAATTCATCCTGTATTTGACTTACCTAATTCTGTTATTCACTAACGCGAGTTAAGTCGATGATTGTATACGAAGGTAACCAGGATGTATATTTAGAAACCAATCATCATGCGATTTAATTGGAGTCGGATAATAGTTCATTAAAGTTTACTTTGCTGGGATTACAACGTCGTTGTGTATTTTTCAGCATCGTTATTTTGTACAAGTTTCATTAGTAAGCTTGATACTAGATGATTCCTACACACTTTGAAATTCAAGAGTTTATCTGGATCACACTATTCTTTCACAATTATTACATTGTAATTTATAAATTAGCAAAAATCTTGTCAAGCGTAAATCGGTAAAAGTAACATGTCTTGTTTGGTGTTACCGATTTATACTTAACAAAACATGACTTCCAAATGGCTGAGGGTGAAAAGAGTCAGCTTTCCTCCAAATGCTCTCATATGGTCATGCATATACAACCATTGGAAGGGACGTCCTGCTCATTGCCTTCTCGTGACGGTAGTGTTGTTTACGAAATTGAGAGGACAATAAGCGAATGTCTAGCGCTTTAACAAGGTTTGTGGATATGAGGGATCCGGCTAGGAGATTTGGAAAACCCTGATTCTAAACTAATGATGCACATGGGCTCCAGTATCCTCGAAGAATAAATGGCGCATGAATCTATTGTTGACGACCGGCTACCATGGGACTGCATCTCCTAAAGTTGCTCCGCTGGTTTGTGGATCAGATCTCTATATGAAGAGTTCTGAGACTGGCCTTCTAAGAAAACCATCTGCTTCGGTTCAAGCGTCCGTGCAGTATCCCAGCCCTTACACGAATCGAATTACGAAGTGTGGTGCATTTACTTCCAGTGCCTCCTTACATTGATGTTTATGTGTTTAAATAAGTAAATAAGACAAGACATCTTAATTTATCAGAGAAATTAACGAAGTAGATTCATATGGACATTATTCAATGGATATACAAACATTACATTTGAAAGGTACTTCATAAAGCCTAAACTTATGTACAGAACATTTATGAATTAGTAATGACTGTAATCGAATTCTAAAACCTTTATACAATTATACGTATATTCGTCAAGATTAGAACGAATAGTTTGACAAAAACTGGGCGCCATGTTTAGAAAATTATAGTTAGAATAATCTAAACGATTGAAATTTTTAAAAAAAATAATTTATTTCCACGTCGTCAACTTTTCACATGATTCCCATGTACCTGATTCATGTTCTTTTATTTACTAAAGTCAATATCCAAATACAATTGGGATTAACACAGTATAGATTTAATTTGATTTGATTGTTAAAAACGCGCTATATCATCATTCCTTGATGATTTTGATTTTGAGCATTCTACTCTGAAGAGGAAGTCCAGACAAGCTAGTTGGACGGAACATTGAATTATTATTTTTTTCTTTAAATTTTAACCGCTGAGATTATTCCAAATATAATTTTCACATAAAATGTCTTTATACAATTAGCTGTGTATGTTTCCCTCTCTCTCTAAACCTTGACTAATTCATGTTCATTTAGTATGTTGACCCTTTTTAATGTGTTTATAACCTCGAATTTTGTATAACAAGTTAATTATAACGTTCATATAAACATCACATTAGATTGTTCTCTTTGGTTATTTGCTTATTCTTGTTTTTGTTTTCGTTTTTCTTTCCAGTCGTTTTGATTCAATCAAAATTAAACCAAATAATTTGGTTACTTTAAAGGTTAGTATTTAGTTAGTTGCCCTCAAATGCCCTGGTACAGCCAAGAGTGGGGACAGTCCGGTCTCCCTCTCGAAATGTTTTCATGTGGCCACGCGTATATAGCCTCTGCTAGGGAAGTCCTATTCATTGCTTTCTCGTGGCGGGGATGTTGTTTACGAAATTGAGAGAACGAAAAGCGAATGTCCGGCGCTTTAACCGGGTTGGTGGACATAAAGGATCCATCCAGAGGAGTTGGGAAACCCTGATTCCAAACCAATGATGCACATGAGCTCCAGTATCCTGCGGAACAAGTGGCGTATGAACTAATTATTGGGGACTGGCTACCATGAGACTGCATCTCCTTACGATGCTCCACTTCCTTGTGGATCAGACCTTCAGGTCGAAGGCTCCGGGTGTGGTCCCTTAAGAACACTACCTGCTTTGGTTTGAGCACCCGGGTAGTATCACAACTCTCACACATGTCAAATGAGATCTGTGTGGCGCATATGTATTTGGTGCCTCCTTGTACCAATATCTATGTGCTAAAACAAATAAATAAATTAGTTACTTAGTTAAATATATTTTTAATTAAAAAATAATGATATTTCATATAAACAATAAACATCAAACATTCTCTGGTATTTACATGTTAAATGTTTCTTTAAGTAAATAGTTATGAAACTTCAAATTGCAAGTTATGATGATTCGAGTTTTATTGTGAACGACGACTTCATCTCTCTCTCTCTCTCCGTGTGTGTGTGTGTTTGTGTGCCAATTTCAATGTTCTTTATAATTTATCGATAAATTCTTCAAAGTATAAATGTAGTCATTATATATTTATTCATTTATTCACTTTTTAACTCTTTTTAATAAGTAGGTTGCATGTTTGTCATCAGGGTTTTCCAACTTCCCTAGGTGGATTCTCAATATCCACCACCAACCCGGTTAGAGCACCGAATATTCACTTTTCGTCTTTTCAATTTTGTAGACAACAGTAATGCCACAAGAAGGCAGTGAGTAGAACTTCCATGACAGTGGTTGTGTGCACGCGACTATCTGATAGTAATTCGAGGGGGAGAGCTGACTCCTTCCACTCTCAGCCGTACCAGGGCATTCGCGGGCAGTGTTGGGGACGGTTGGAAGAAAGTTAGGGGCGGTCAAATCAAAACGTGGTATCAGTGCTTGAAGTCACTTACTTATGGTCTTAGCCATGTTGATAGATGCATTCTACTTGGTTGGGGTCCGCGTGACTATCGTAACCAATGGTTTGAGACTCTTGGAGACACGGCTCAGAATCGATCACAATTCCCTAAACTATGAGACTAAAATTATTTCATATCTTTCTTTCTGTACTATATCCTTATGTGCAATCTTTCCTTTATATATTACACCATTGAGTTAACTGCTTCTATGAATCCGGTGTTCGTTTTACTGTGATAATGATGTGTGGCAACTTGGACCGATGCATGTATGTGCCTGGTCCTACTATTGTAACTGATTGACACGCAAATAAAAGAGAAGAGATTTGTGAAAAAGTTGTATCTGTGGAGACGCCAGAATTCCTTACCAGACTTATTCGCCCATCACGCTATGGATAATCATCGAATCGTAATTTAGTAACCGTTCAGTCTATCACGTTTGTCCCATTCCATATCAGAAAGATCACTTTAACCGTTTACAACTAGAAATTATTGTTCAAACTTCAATTACAAGTGCCACTATTCTTTAAACTTTCTAGAAAATCTGATACATTTGTAAACATTTTAAGTCAGTGTAAACAGTGAGTTATTATCCACAATAAGGATCACAAAAGATCACATAATAAGAGGTTACTGAGAACCGCCACATTTCATCATACCTTCAATTTACATGCCGTTCTTTCCTAACAGCGTTAAGACATTAAGATAAATGTGTGTTACACAAATAAGAAAGTAAAGTTATGAAGCGATACATAACTGAAGTTGGAATATAATCAAAGAATAAATGAAGGAATAAAAATAATTGAATGAGAATGGTATGTGTTGAATAAAACAGTTTATCTAAGAAAACTACTATCAAATAGATTCCTTTTTGGTTGAGAGCGTTTTTTTTACTTCTTCTTTCTTCAAGGAATATAGAAAGGATTTCCGCAAAATGATTATTAACTTTTATTTTGAGTTTTATCTATGAATGTCTTATACACCGAGTTTCACTTTCATTGGATGTCTCTTTCTAGCCACAGGACCATACTGAAATAACACATTGCCGTAAGCTGCTATGGCTTTTACTTTGCTTATACTTATGTTATCATTAGGGTACCCAACTACTCAAATGTACAGGAGATAGTTTCTAAATTCCTTAAGATTACCAAGCAAGATTTGATGGGATTACTTAGTTAACTCATGATTGTTTCTTCTCCTACTGATACTAAATTTGTGATTTTTTCTTCTCTCTTTTTTCGTTCTAGCGTGATGTAGTGCTTGATCAATTGAGGAGTTCCTTCGGTGTGAATGTGTTAATGGTTTGCTCTTTCCAAAACGTAAGAATGCTTTATACAGTGTACAATGATTTCTATTGCCAATTAATAAATTATTATCAGAATAGGGATTTGTAAAGATTATACTAGTTTTAATAGTTGAATTCATAAATCGCTCTAAGCTAGAATACCATTGAAAACCTGGAATCACTAAATGGCTGTTTTGTGCTAGTATGGAGTTCTCCAGCAGTGCGTAACCATGATCTTACACACAGGACTCGAACCCAGAAGCTTCGGCCTTGAGCGCGAACTCTTAAGCCGCAGATCACTGAACCGGTATCCAATGCTGTTTATGTCCAACTTCAATCGATCCATGACCTTACGCAATCCTTCATCCATTGTTTGAAGTGGATAACTGTCTCTGGCGGACACGGATTGGACTTTACGGAAACTATCAAAATGAAATTTATTGAAATAAATCGATTCACATTTTACAGCATTAAAGGTGGTTGTTGACGAACAAAAAAATTACAGCGAAAGTCCCAGTTTCAAACTTTGTTCTGTTAAATATCAGTTGAAATTCTTACATTTTACGTCTATCTGGAGTCAATGTGTGAAATTTCTAAGGAATTGGGAAAATTATACAGCAGTAATGAATATTCGAAGCAGAGAGGGACAGGATTTAAGAGTTCGAGTTATTTTAGTAGATATCTTTATGTATTGCTTTTAATTGTCTTGCAGGAAATTGACAGCTTGTTGCCATGCTTTGGTCTGACTACTCCTATTTAGTTACTGTCATCATAGTCGACCATAATCCTGTAGCAAAATTTCTATTTTTAGATGTGTGAAACATAACTAAATTTTTATCACACTGTCACTAAGATTGTTAAGCCCTTAATATTTTGCAAAAGAAACAGTTTCATGTAGAAGCTCACCAACAATGGATGTAAAAGAACAAACGTACCCTAGGAACTGTTAACTAAAATCTTTAGTTCTGTAACTGAATTATATATGATCAATTTTTAGTCAATCGTAGATAACCCTGGATCTAATATGAAAGTTTCCAAATTGTAACATCTCATAATGGTAAATAAATGCTCAGTAAATATTTGTTCAAAAGGAGGAAATATGATAGATTATCTCCTGTATACTCATGTCTGATTGTAAGGATGGGTAGCATATGACTTTCGTAAATTTTGTAGACAGTTTTCATGTCAAGTAATATAACCTGAGCTAAAGAGTCACATAATTAACACCTATGCGTAGTGCTATGTTTGAAGAGATTGCGAGTTCAACTAATATGAGAACAAAACGAAAATTCTGTGACACAATGACCAATAAACTAGCTATTCCGACGCATCCTAGCCTCGCTAACCGCTAACCAGAGAGAGAAGTCCATGTTTGGAAGAGGAAAATATATTCCACAAACAACAACAAACACAACACAAGTATATATATATATATATATATATATATATATATATATATATATATATATATATATATACTATTATTTATTTATTTTAGCACATAGATATTGGTACAAGGAGGCACCAAATACATATGCGCCACACAGATCTCATTTGACATGTGTGAGAGCTGTGATACTACCCGGGTGCTCAACCAAAGCAGGTAGTGTTCTTAAGGGACCACACCCGGAGCCTTCGATCTGAAGGTCTGATCCACAAGGAAGTGGAGCATCGTAAGGAGATGCAGTCTCATGGTAGCCAGTCCCAATAATTAGTTCATACGCCACTTGTTCCCGCAGGATACTGGAGCTCATGTGCACCACTGGTTTGGAATCCGGTTAAAGCGCCGAACATTCGCTTTTCATCCTCTCATTTTCGTAAACAACACCTCCGCCACGAGAAGGTAGTGAGTAGAACTTCCCTGTCAGAGGCTATATTTGCGTGGCCATGTAAGAGAATTTCGGGAGGGAAAGGGGACTCTCCCTACTTATAAATAAGGCATTTACAAAGTAAGTTCTAGAGATCTAACCTCACCAACAACAGACAACTCAGTAATAGATTATTATGTGTACTGATCATGTTCATTTTTCACCTTAGCTTCTTAACTCGTTGTATTCATGTTTCCTTTTTTTTTTTCTCTCTCTCTCTCTCTCTCTTGTATGTGTTTTGGCTCATATTCTATTTAGCATAAACCAGCTAAATTATCTGAAATTCGACTATGTTTAAATCCATCATTAGAATTTATTGATTGTCCTATATCAGGAAATAAAAATGATTATCAACAATTTTCAAATAGTTTTAATCATCAAAACATTTATCATAATCCTATTTGTAAATCATCGTTACCATGGTTATATCAATCTCCAATTTGTTACAATCAATCATCTATTTTATTATTTTATAATGCACAATGTCCAGAAGAATTAATATTTCCAGATTTTAATTAAAATGATATTCATTATGTGGACATTCTCTTATATACATAATTGATCCTTTGTTAGTTACTGCAACTCTATTATCACCAAGTCTATTGTTGCCTTAGTGATTACTATTCACTTTGACTCCTGTTGTATTATTCAAATATATACTCTGTTATATAAAATAAGTACAATTGACATGACAATTTGAATAGTATATCTCTTATTATTCAATCATCTTTAATGATATAATGTTTTATACAAGTTTCTATGTTGTTGTTATTGTTGTTGTTGTTGTTTTAACTAACTTTATCTGAATCTATTCTTTTATGAATAAAACTTATTGGTTTTAGATGAATCGGATAGATTTTGTTTGTTTTTTTTTTACATTTGAAAATACATTTTAACTTTTGAGCATTTGGACATTATCATAGCCCATACACACATATCAAGTGACTTGTGTAGTGCGTGTGTATCAACAATGACCCTTTGTGCCAAATTATATGTGTTTTTAAATAAATAAATGATCAAACACTTGCTATTCTTAGTTATTGTGTTTATGTGGTTTATAGTTATATATTGTTCAATATTCTGTTCATTTCTACTATACTGAATGTTATTTGAATGTGAGTCGGACGTGTATATATATAGTATACTGCCTCAAATGCTCTGATATGGGCGAGAGTGATGAGAGTCAACTCTCCTTCTCAAAACGCTCTCACATGGCCATGTGCATACAACCACTGCCAGGTAAGTCCTACTCACTGCCTTCTCACGAAGAGGGTGTTGTTTACAATATTGAGATGACGAGAAACGAGTGTTCAGCACTTTAACCGGGTTGGTGGATATGGGGGATCCACCTAAGGGAGTTGGAAAACCCTGATACCAAACCATTAGTACACATAGGCTGGCTCCAGGACCCTGAAGGAATAAAAGGCGTATGAATCGATTTTGGTGACCGGCTACGATGGGACTGCATCCCCTGACGTTGCTCCACTACCTTGTTGGTTAGATCGTTTGAAGCGGATGAAGATCAATTCCGAGACGTAAATACATCCAGCTGACGAGTCCCAAGCTGGATGGAACACTCGTCCTGGCTTACAGTGCTAGTCACTATCATCTCTGGTAAAAACTAATTTTATTATACATACAAGAAATCTCCTTCCAAGTCTATTCGGTTATTATTTCTACATTTTAATGATTGTGTTCATATTTATGGCAACAGTACACGTAGAACATTATCTGAACGTTGATGGAAAAAAGGAACCACTTAGTTTTCGTGTAAATTTAGAAGGTTCCTTTTATTTCAACTAGATATATTCAGAGTCTTAATTTAATTGTATTTTCTTAACTTTCGATAAGGAGATTTATATACACAACAGAAAATTGACTTGGTAATGTTTACTTGTATCTTTCCATTCTTGTTTAGGACTGCGTTTGATCAATCTCTTGTTGGCATATGTGCATCGCATGTGGATTGCATCAGTATTGCCTTAGTTCATAAGCTTTATAAACAAAGATGTATAATGGCTAGCAGTGGAGTCCAATTGACGCAAGTTTCATCCTATTTGTGACTCGTCATCTGGATGTACCTGCATCGCAGAGTTGATGTTCACTGTGGAACGTGGATCTGGTACCGTTCGCTTCAAACGTCATTGTGTTATGTAGGTACACACAGTTGACGAGTCCTAAATAGGACGAAACGCTCACCCTGGACTCCATTGCTAGCCACTTTCTACTTTTGCTTATAAAACTTGTGACTTAACACAACAGAAAATTGTTTATAAATAAAGTAACTTCTAAGAGATTTTATTTAAGACTAACAAAAATATGTGTGCTCAACGTAACTTGAATGTTATAACTTCCGCACCAGATAGCTACTAAACAAATCGATATTATGAGTTTATCAAATCATTGACTTTATACTTGTATCTACACACCTATTATGTGAAAATAAAGATAAAATACTTCATTAATCTCATCACATATTGATGAATATCATAGGTGAGTTTAACATGCATAGTTCTCTCTATCAAGCTTGTTATATTTTGAATTTTCTAGAATACTGTTATTGTCTAACTCAGTTGTATAAATGAATTTGGTAAATAATTATGAGAAATGTATATTTAGGTGATATACAAAATAGTCTTAAATAAGTTCTGGAATTGTTTGAAAATAACTAAACAGACAATATTGTATCCATGGAGGTTTCTGAGAGAAGTGATTAGCATATTAAGAAACGATTATTAGACTGGATTGAAACTGTATTGTAGTGTGCGCTACTGATGTTGATAGACATAAGTAGTATGTATCATTATTCGAAAGTGAAAGGTTAAGAAGATCGAAGAAAAGACGATGAGAACAGAGAGTGATTGGTGTGGAAACGAAGAAACAGTGAAGTTTGAGACAATTGATTGACATTGTGCAAATGAAGTATTTACTGTATAGTGGTTCTCAGATTTTATTAAAATGTCCTATAATTCTTTATTCCAATACATTCGATTGTCCTCATTTGTGTTCTCGTTCACTACATATTCGGTTATACCACAAGGAAATCGTTTAGTCTTCTGTTGATTATTCCCACATTTTGACTTCTTTAAAACTGATGTAAGCCTTCAGCTGATTATTGTTTGTTTAAACCTTTAGTTTTCAGTTGCTGATTGTTTGAAAATGAATGTTTATTGAGAGAAATTCTTTGTATATCACCGCTATTCTTTTTAATTTGTTAGTATTGTATACCATTTCTTCTTCATTGATTAATGTTTAGAAATTCATTTCTGGTTCCACTGAATACCTACACATAACAAACGTAAAACGATTTCGTTAAAATGCCAAATTCTTCATCAATGTATCGTTTATTCATTGATTTAATGGACAGTCATAGGTAGGAATATCAGTTTTTATGACCAGAGGTATCGAGATAAATTTACTGAACTATAGGCTGGATAACAAACTCAGAGCTGTTTCAATACACTAGATATTTGATTATTTATAAGCACAAATACACAATTTCCAACCGAGGAATTCTGAATCAGATTAAATGAGCCCTATTAATAGCTTTTTCTTCTAAATTACAACGTCAAATTTGAGTAGGAACACTACGACAATCTATGTATCAAGCAGTGCTTTAAATACGAATTCGTCTGACTTCATCGTTTAACATCACTAACTTTGTTTAGTGAAACCTAGCTCCAGGATTGAAAAAACTTTAGGGTTCATGGATTGTGGTAAGACAAAGTTTCATAGGCAAATAAGCAAGATTCTCAAATGCAACAGGTAGAAAACCAACCCAATCACACTTGATGGAGAAACTCTGGGAGATGTGGAATCTTCCATGTACCTGGGAAGCATTATTGATGAAGAAGGAGGATCGGATGCAGACTTAAAGGTGTCAACATACATAAAGGAAAGACAAAGGTCCTCTTTTAAAACACGGAGAACACCGAACCACCCACACTTGATGGAGTAGTTCTGGAAGATGTGTAATCTTCCACGTACCTGGAAGCTTCACAATAAACCAGGAGGATCTGATGCACATGGACTTCCTTAACTAAATTACTTTAGACATTTATTCTTAATCGTATTCTGTCCGTAACTAAAAAAGGCCCTGAAAAATAATGAATTTATCTAATTTACATAGTTTCTTGTTATTGTTTCATTTCAATTCTCTACCAAAGTTACTAAGTAAATAAACCAATAAATTAGTTAATAAAAGTGAATTATTGACAAATACTTACCTAATAAATGGATTAATTAATAGTAATCAAATATGATTACATAACATATCGACAAAATAAACTTAACAATATCTACTTTTGTCTATTAAACGACACTATTGCATATCATACACTCATTCAGGTTAAACAAGCAAATGAACAAAAACACTGACGACAATCATCATTTACAAAAAGAAACAAATGTCTGTACTGAACTGAGTTAATAATTTGGAAGTAGGTCGTTACGATGGTCACTTAATACTGACAAATTCATGTGGTAGTTGTCATCACAAAGTACTGAGCGGTTAAATATTTAGCTTACTTTACTGATGTTACTGGTATATCTTAGCTACAATGATGGAACAGAGTTTCATCGGTGATAATATAAGGTCGTTTTTAGAATAATCAATTAGGAAATGTAATCGAATAATCAATGACTGAAATGGCCATAGAATATGATAAGTCTTGCTAATCAAACGCTAGATTTGTTTCCTAAGCTCTTTTAGTAACCCTTAGACCGGAACTGCACAGGGACTTGAACATGAGAGAAAAGGCGCGAAATATGTAAGAAACACTTTGTTCTAAAGGTTCTTTTATGTACGGGAAATCTAGGGTTTTTATATTATTTTGGATGTCCTTTGAGTTTCCCGAAAATTATGGAACGCTACTAAACATAGTAGCAGTATAGTAATCATCCAATCAGATGCTCGACATGTGACTCAGTGTTGTCAGAGCCTTTATTGGCTTTCTTCGAGGAGTTTTTTGAATCTCTACAACAGAAACATTCTCAACTAAACAGCTAAGCTTTTAGGTGAATAAGGACGATTGTTAATAGCTATAAATTAATATTTCATGATGACATATGCAAGAAATATCTGTATTCTTATTGGAACTGATATTCCCAATGAGACAAGACATAGAATCATTTATTGTTATTAACAAAGACGGTTTCAAATCTCTAAAAAACAGCGAAGTTATTTTAATGATGCTAATTTTGTTATTCTTCCTCCGTAAAACTGAGTCGTTAGAAGTGATCGATGAAATGTAACCGTTTCATCATATTATTAGGTTGTACAATATTTAGGTTTCCAGTAATTGGTCGTTAATGGTTAAATGAAAGGCTATGGTAACATAGAAGTTTTGGTAAAATCTGAGAACAATGCAGTAAATAATTTGTTTACGAAATGTCAATCAGTCGTCTCAGACCTCATTGTTCTTTAGTTTTCACGCCAATCATTCACTGTTCTCGTTCTCTTTTCTTTGATCTTCTTAATCTTTACATTCGATTGATGATATATACTAATTATATCTATCGACATCAGGAACACACACCACGATAGTAATCAGAGTTACGCGAATTTAACGCAAATTTTAATAAACATTTAAAATCCCCAATAAATCATAACAAACACAAATTGAAAAACAAGATTCTCTGATACAACATAGCATGCGCCAATCGAATCATACTTGATAGAGAAGCTTTAGAGAATGTAAAAACGTTTAATTATCTGGGCAGTGTCGTTGATAAACGCGGTGGATGTAATGCAGATGTGAAGGCGTGGATCGGCAAAACAAGAGCAGCATATCTGCGACTGAAGAACATCTGGAACTCAAAATAACTATCTGTCAGCCAACACCAAGATCGAAAATTTCAACACAAATGTCAAGACAGTTCTATTGTATTGGGCGGAAACTTGGAAAACTACGAAAACCGTCATCTAGAAGATAAAAGTGTTTATTAACAGTTGTCTGCGCGAAATACTTCGGATCCGTTGGATAACACTATCGGCAACAACCCACTGTGGGAAAGAACTAACCAGATT